TACCATTATCTTTATTGTATGGTCCATTTTAATGTACACGATTTGACATTATCTTTATCTTTATTGTATGGTCCATTTTAATGTACACGATTTGACATTATCTTTATCTTTAGTGTATGGTCCATTTTAATGTACACGATTTGACATTACCATTATCTTTATTGTATGGTCCATTTTAATGTACACGATTTGACATTACCATTATCTTTATTGTATGGTCCATTTTAATGTACACGATTTGACATTACCATTATCTTTATTGTATGGTCCATTTTAATGTACACGATTTGACATTACCATCATCTTTATTGTATGGTCCAGTTTACAATTACTTATCTTACTGTTTTCGTTAAAAGAGCTTTAAACGAAACTACGCAACATCAAGTAGTTTCAACACATTCTGAGATATTTTTATCTCCTGTTGGTGACAGTGTTTACAAGTTTGTTATATAACATGGCAGGAATGTCTATATCTACAATTAGGAGACAAAAAAAAACAACTCTAATAGTCATCACGAGACAGCGAAAATAAATGGAACAGCACCAGGAGAAAGGGGAGATATTTCTAACAGTCATTAAGACAGCGGGAATACTTCTATCGGTCATTTGAAGACAGCAGGAATAACTCTAGCAGTCGGCAGAAGAAAATGGGAATATCTCTAACATCATCAGGAAATCGTGGGAATATTTCTAACAGCCATCAGAAGACAGCGGGAATATTTCTAACGGTCATCAGGAGGCAGCAGAAATAACTTTATTAGTCATCAGAAGACAACGGAAATAATTTTACAATCATCAGGAGATAATAGAAACACCTCTAACTGTCATCAGAAAATAACGGGAATATCTATAACAACCCCTTATCTACTCTATAACACATAATAATTGCTTATTAACTATTAATCAAATTCAAAACATTTATCAATACTTTAATAAATAGTAACTTAAAAATCATGATTAAACGCATTTTTTTCGTTGGCTCCCCTTTCCGCGTTTTTCTTTTATCAAATAGTATTGAGATATTGAAAAAAAAAACAAAAAACAAAAAAAAACGAACGTTACTTTAAAATCGGCACCACTTACAAAGAACGCCGGAAATCGTAGCGTGATTCGGTTATTCATGTGAACTATCTACAATGCCGCGCTTTTTTAACAGTTCGTTCACATGCTAAGTGCACTAGCGTAATCGTTCGAACGAATTCTTTTCCTGCTTCCACAAAGCTCACGTAACGGCCTCTGAGCTGAAAAGCACGTGGGACAAGGTGTGTACCAGAAAAGAAGCTTTCAAAGGAATTTTTTAAGCAAAGTGAAAGAATCAGCTGGTATTCTATCCCGCTCCTGGGGCAACTCTTTAGATGTCCGGGGGTCACGTGACTCTATAGAAGGACGTAAAACTAGACATGCTATTGTCACTGGACATTCAAGCTTTAGAAGTCGGTAAGGTCTTGCTTTCTGTACATCACTGTTGCAAAATATGAGGTAGCTTGTAAAAAGCACGAACTCTTTTCTAATCATATAACTTATGTCTAGAAGCAAGTTATGCTAATATAATAGTAAACTGACAAACAACGATTTATAATTACGTTGTACATTTGCTGTTATGTTAAACTTATATTAAAGTTTTTCTTCATTACCCATTCAAGCCGTCTCCAACCATTATTAGTCTCAAAGTGGGTTCCTCGTCATCGAACGATTTATAAGCATATAAATCGTTGTTTGTCAACTTATTATTATATAACTTGTGTATGAATCTTGGTTTTTGTCGATTTTACGTCCACTCCCTGCTGTCCAGACGTTCAATGTACTTCTGCGTGTCAGTCGATTTTTCAACTACACTGTTCCTTGTTTGTTTTATTTTAAGCGCAAATATGCACAGAGTGCTATCAGCTTTGTGCTCATCGTAAGGATCGAGCTCTAAGTTTTAGTGTTATAAGTTCTCTAACTTACCCCTGAGCAACCAGAGCCACACACTATTGTATAACAATCGACCTTTTAAGTTTGCCTTTACAATCGTCTGTAATTATGTTATCCAGAGACAAAAGCTTCGGGTTTTTGCAGTTTGGCTGTTCTTTAACTTGTGCTTAATTTGGGTTAAAAATTGTTTTGTTTTGTTATAAATATTTAATCATTCTTCTAGCAATTATTGAACATTAATTAAAATGCGCTGTTTCTACAATGAAAACAGTTTCAGAATTAAGCTTCTTCAATGAATGGTATTATCACTTTGCAGGGGAACCATCATTGTAAATTAGAAAAAGCCGACATTTTAGGTTTGACCGTTCAACACCTACAGCGAGTGCAAGCACAAAGTAAGCACAGTTATGTTTTGATTTTGTCTTTCTTTTTCTTCCATAGATAAATTTCATCCTTATAACTTCGCAACTTCTGTAACATAGAAACTTCGAGTTCAAACATATTTATAAAAGTTTGATATAAAATTATCGATAGAGTAAGTTTTGTCGTTAATTAATATTTATTTTGTGTTTGGTGGATAAGTTTTGTACATTGTTCTGTCTTTCTATTTTAGCTTCTTGTGGAATGGGAGAACACTCGTTAAAAGATACTTTTACGTATGGATATGCAGAATGTGTAAGACACGTAACGCAGTACTTGTCGAGCTTGAAAGAAGTAGACTCTGACCTCGTTTCCAGAATAACTGATCACATGACCAAATCTTTAGCTTCGGTTTCTGAGGAAGAAAGACCCACATCTGCAAGAGTGACTAGCACAGTCCCAGACACTTCAACTGATAACGAAGACTCACGATCTGTAGCTGTGGAAACCTCTGAAATAACTGATCCAACTCCTGTCAATCCCGAAAATTCCCCATATAATCTTTTAACATCGAAAGGGAATTCATATAAAAACAAGAAAGATACAATACCTTCCTCCATAGGCAGAAACCCCCTCCTTCATGGTTCGAGTTCTCCTTTTACTCACGTTTCCAAATACTTCAATCCCAACCTCAGAAACAACAGAAAATGCTCTTCCATGACATCTGTGTTAGACGATACCTCGAAAAATGATTCGGGCATATCATCTTATCTCGACTCTCCTCGTGTTGAACCGAGTATTTCATCTTATCTCGACTCTCCTTGCGTTGAGCCGAGTACTTCATCTTATCTCGACTCTCCTCGTGTTGAACCGAGTATTTCATCTTATCTCGACTCCCCTCGTATTGAACCGAGTATTTCATCTTATCTCGACTCCCCTCGTATTGAGTTGAGCGTTTCATCTTATCTCGACTCTCCTTGCGTTGAGCCGAGTATTTCATCTCATCTCGACTCTCCTTGCGTTGAGCCGAGTATTTCATCTTATCTCGACTCTCCTCGTGTTAAACCGGTCATTTCATCTTATCTCGACTCTCCTCGTGTTAAACCGAGTATTTCATCTCATCTCGACTCTCCTCGTGTTCAACATGACATAACCAACAAGCAAATTATTCCAACTCGTTTTAGCGTCATAAGAAGAGCGTCATCATCCCCAATGCTCTTCAATGAAGTTTGGAGACCATGGTAGCACCCGTTACGTGCATCTGTGTTCTTAATAGTGTTTTGAATTACCTGTAACGCTGTTTTAAATGTGTTTATGTACCTAATTACACTTTTTATGGCCTCCACACCCATCTTAGGTGTACTTGATGCTACTTTGAATAAGCTGTACACCTGTTTTAAGCATATTTCTGTATGAGTTAATGGCATTCTTAATAACGTATACAATTTCTTACTTGCACTTAATGACATTTTTATTAACAAATGCACATGTTTACGTGTATTTCGGTTCTTAATGATACTTTGAATAACGTAACACATGTTTACGTGTATTTCGGTTCTTAATGATACTTTGAATAACGTAACACCTGTTTATGTGTATTTCGGTTCTTAATGATACTTTGGCAAAGTAACACCTGTTTACGTGTATTTCGGTTCTTAAAGATACTTTGAATAACGTAACACCTATTTACATGTATTTGTATTCTTCAGAGGCGTCGCTAGGTGTATAAAAGATTCGGGCCTCGGGCCCATAAGCACTTGAATCTTCCGCTTTTCAGTATGATATTGATCATGGTTTTTCTATTCTTATTTTTCATAACACCAACTTAGGATTTGGGGCACAGTCAAATAGAATCGGGGCACGCCCCCCGTGTACCAATATCTAGCCCACCCTTTGTCCATGATTTTTAAAATTGTTGCATTGATATATATTATGGAAAGTCATATTTAGATAGATGAATACTTATCTCTAGTCTGAACTACTTTGAAAGAGAGAGAAGTACATTTATTTTTAGTTATTCGCTCAGTAATTATTGTAACATATATGGAAGATATTTATCAACAACAATATTCAGTTAGAAATTGGGGGATTGAAAGTGACTCCTTTCTTAAATATATCCTGTTTGCGCGCCTATACAATGAATAACGTATAGACATCTTAACGACAATGTGAATGATGTGTACATTTGTGAACTTACCAGATACTAATGTGCTCGTGATATGTTTCGTTGTGTGATATATTATATTGCTCTCTTGAAAGCTAGTTATTGAAAGCACGTGCACAATTGAATACTGTGCTTTTTACGTGTAAATATGTCTTCGAAAAATAGGTAATGGACGCATAATGTTTTCTAACAGTAGTTTAATTTTTTATTCTCTGTTAGAAAAGGCGAAACAATGAGACTGCACTTGTTATTTCTCTATATCTAAGTAATAATTAAGACTGAACATTTTTCAAGCTGTCTAAATATGGTGTCATTTTAACCAAGTCTCAATTTAATTAGTATGTTTTTAGTTAGTCATGTTGTCATCTTTTTTATGAACATCGCTTTGTTGTCCTTTGTGAATTGTATTTGTACTTACACTGTATGTATATAAAACTATTCCTTTGTCTGTTCTTTATCAGAAAGCTATGTGTTTTATATATCATTCTATAATTTCTAGAGTTATTCGATTAATACTTGTAAAAATAAATTTTGTATAAATACCAATACGCCTTCAGTGGTTTTGTTGCAAAGCTTACAACACACTGCAAGCACATCAAGTGAAAAGATGCAGCTGTTATAATTCTGTTTCTTGACACGATCTTTTCTAACAAATCCTTTTATTGGTCCTCTTTTTTTTCTAAGAATGAAATCATATATTTTAAAATATTTTTTTAATGCTGAATTATAGTCCTGGTACGATCTCTTCTACCCCTGCGAAGCAGCCCATCGTCATATAAGGAGCCAGTGCCTGTCTAACGTGATATTTATCTCCCTGAAGACTTATAACACTAAAAACCGGGTTTTGATACTCGTGGTAGACATAGCACAAGTCATTATATTAAATATAGGGTGTATTTGTACTTATAAACAAACAAACAAAACACGATATTTTCCAAATTCTGTTTCTCAGTATGATTCTTCTATAAAATTATGTTTGTTATCATGATCATTCCTACTATATTCTATCGTTAATGAAAAACTGTAAATAAATTTGGATAGCTATGAAATATTTAAATAAAACAATTGAAGTGAAGAAACAACTCAGAACCCATCTTATTAATAATAATTATCTCTATAATCACACACATATTATTGTGGATGAAATCATGTCATGTTAATAAGTGAAACAAATACTGGAAATTATTTATCACTGTATTTGAATTCATTGAAAAATTAAATGATAACAATTATTCTAATTTATGCTCATAATTCTACTTATGGTCCTAATCAATTTTTCATTGAATTAAAAGACGAAGCTTAATATTTTTTTCTCTTTCCAGTATGTATTTTAATAAGTTATAAATCATGTTCATTAACCCATTATTATGTTTGATTATAGTGTTGCGTCAGCGAGGTCACGTGATTAGTATCACGCCACGCCCTTCTCGAACCTTCGTGAATTGTCGGGAGATTACTAGATATAGTGTAGTCTTGTATATATAAGACCGGCCACGAAGCGACGAAGGTAATGAGTAATTGAATGTATGCGGACAAAATATTGTTGCCCACGTGAGATGTGAGTTATAGTGTTTGATTATAGAGCGACTGTTGAAATTAAGTGTATCGTAAAGTTGTATTCGGAAAGAATAAACCAGTTTTATTTAACAAAGGACTTCTGTCGCTAAAGTTTCGTCGGAACGAATTTACGGAAAATTAATTAACGATTGGAGGCGTAACAATAGATTACTTATAAATTGTGAAGTAATAACTTACCTATGTTGTATAAAATATACATACTTCATTACATTAGTTATTTGATATTAGATATTCCGTGATAAGTACACAATAATTGTTACAATACCGAAGTAAAAACTATGTCTTTATTAATCCATAAAATATATGTTTCGAACTTAAAATAGTTCAGATTTCTACTACCAAAAATAGCAAACATGCAAGCACACTCGTTGTCTGTGATAAAAAGCTCTGTCCAATTTGTTGTTAATATATATATTTATAGCTTTTTTCTGTTTACCACATATAGATTTCCGAATAGTGAAATTTTCATATGCCAAATTAAGTTCTGCTTTAAAAAATTACTGATTCCTAGTATTCATTAGAAGACTGATCAAATTTTATGAACTCAAGTTTTGATTAAACTAAAACTTTCCTGTTTTAAGTAGTTTTAGTGACTAGGTGAAATTTGAAATGTTTAATATATTCGTTAAGCATTTTCATTTTGTATTGAAAGATGTAAGAGAAAAACCTTAAAAATACAAATGTATCATTAATTTCTAAAGATATTTTTCTGCTCTTCAAGCAGGAAGGCAGAGCGATTTTCTTTCCAAAATTAACGTCTAACGATACCATGTGCTGTTTGACGATACCACATGCTGCATGACGATATCATGTGCTGCCTGACTATACCATATGTTGGTTGGTGATAATGTTTGTCACATGAGAGGAAACTGGCAAAGCATTGAACTCGTAAATAAGAATAATGAACAAAGAATCAACGCCTGAAATAAGGAAATTTATCAAACACCAAATTAGAGAATGTACCGAGGAACAAAATATATGAATAACGCCATTTCTCAATCTACAGCACAATAAATATATTCCTTGTAATATATATATATATTTATTTATAAAAGAAGTAGCTGCTTGGTGCTTTACATAGTAAAAAAATATCCATAGGTTTGTTTTTTCTTTAAATTAAGCACAAAGCTACACAATGGGCTATCTGTGCTCTGCCCACCATGGGTATCGAAACCCGGATTCTAGGGTTATAAGTCCGCAGATATACCGCTGTGCTATTGGGGGCATATCCATAGGAACAAACTGGTGTTACATATACTATATATATTTGTATTATATAAAGAGAAACTAACTTACAGTATGTACATAGTAACTAACTGGGGGTACATATAGTTACGTAATATACAGAAGAACCAGCTGGCGTTCTATATATTTACAATATATACATAGTAACTAACTGGTAGTACATATATTTGCAATATATATACATAATAACTAATTGGTGGTATATATAGTTACATTATATAGAGAAGAACCAGCTGGTGGTATATATATATTTGCAATATATAAATAATAACTAATTGATGGTATATATAGTTACAGTATATACATAGTAACTAACTGTTGGTATATATAGTTACAGTAATATAGAGAAGAACCAGCTGGTGGTATATATATTTACAATATATACATAGTAATTAATT